TATGTAGTTGTGCTGTCCTTCTCCTAACCTCCCCTCACTCCTCTCTAGACCGCCCCTGAGTGCTCCTCCAGGCGTCCCTCCTCGGTGGGGAGGCCGGGAACAGGAAGCCCGCCGGGCAGCAGGGGGAGGGGGGGTGCAGCGCTGCTGGAAGGAGATCCAGAGGAACTGTGCCATGGAAGATCCTCAGCGAGAAGGACACATCAGCACTACCTCCTTTCTCAGTGAGCAGCCAACCACAATCATATACTGTCTATATCTATTCCTTCTACCGGCTCTATGCTAATGACTACTCTGTGTTGCAGAGATCCTCCACTCTCTGGGCATTAATATGACACAGGAGCAGCTTGAGCACCTGACTGTGAAGTTTGACATCATCAACATTGGCTGTGTTTCCTATCACAACTTCCTACGTCACTTCCTCCTGAATCTGCAACCAGCAGAGGCAAAGAGTGCATATGATGAGATTGCCTCTTCCAATTGCACTGGTAAAAAAAAAAAAAATCGTATCCTTAAATATCTGCATGAAATAATCAGTAACTGTGCCACAAATACATCCAAGTCTGTTCTTTTCATTCTTTTAAATACCGGTTTGTAAATCTGTCCTCTGTCCCATCGTACCTGATTTTGAGAGAAAGTGTTACGAAATCTGGATCCAAATTACTTTACAATTGCATAACTTTTTAAGATTTAGAATTGGTTTTTGATAACCCTTAATCAATAGACAATTGCCATTTATAAGAGCCGACTTAATGTGTAGTACATGGCTAATAATGATAACTGCTACAGAATAGTATTGAGACGAGGCATAAAGAAACAATTTAGAGAAGGGACATTCATTTTATTTTATGCTATTTTTCATAGAAGCTAAAGTCACAATATCGACAAGATTTTCAAAGTATTGAGAATGATGTTGTCATGTCGATAATAAGGTGAAACCAGTATTTGTTCAGGACATAGAAAAATATAAATGAAAGGCTTAAGATTCTGCCAAAGATGCCAAACTAAAATGTTGTAGTACTTCGGTAGGCATGTTAACATTTCAAATTCAACTTTTCCCTCATCTAACCCATCTTTCCAATCATCACTGCTGGAGTGAATGTGAAATTGGGACACAGAGAATGTACTCTCAGCCACACATACCCATGCTGAGCAGCACATTAGCACTTTACAAATTAACTCCACAGTCTCTCTCCTTTCCTCCGTTTTACGTCTAATATATTGTAGTTTTGCTGCCTGAAAAGTGGGTTACAGTAAAGCGGTGGTGGGGTGGCTCCGTAAAGCGAGGGGGGGTGATGAGCAACGCCGGGTTGCCAGATTGTGTAAACTCAGCGGGGACCTCCCACCCTCAGGCTCTCGACTATCGCCTCATATGACAAATTGGGCGAGTTTGGTGAGTTTTGGAGCTTTTTTTGGCGCGGGGAGGTGTATATGAAGCTTTGAACAATGACACACGGGTGGGCACGTTCTAAAAAGAACTCCCGCTGAGCGACTAAGCCGAGCCCCAAGCTTCAGTGGAGCGTGTGGGTGAGGGCCTAATCTGGCAACCCAAAAGCTGCAACCTTCCAAACCAACTTCACAAATCACACAAGACCTGCATTGTCTCCACGGATCCCACCATCTGCGGGAAACTGCAGAGACCTCCTGCGATTTTATCTGATTCGATAATGTGTCTGAACACGAGTTTACAGACAAAACCATTTTATCTGATCACAGGACGAAAAACACTTTGTTCTCGTGATTTTAACCGATGAATGTGGGCGCTCTCACCTATATTTGTTGTTTTCTTTCTTATTGTTCATGTCTTCTTGTTTGAGTCATTTACTCTTTGGTCTGATTCTGGATGGTTTGGTCCAGAAGAGTGAAGGTGTGCTGAGCAGAGACTGTGTGGAGGTCATGCTGAGGATCCACAATGTGGTCCATTCCTCCTGGACCTCCATCAGACGCTGCTTCCTGACATGTGACCGCGCCCGAACAGGAAGTGTCTCCTTGCAGGACTTCAGGATGGTGAGATCAGCTGCAGCGCTCCACCCTGAAGAACTCCACCTGCACTGCTGCATCCGAGCAATGTCAAACACTTCAGGTTCCTTATGAATTATTGATGCAATCGTTTGAGCTCCACTTCTATCAAAATGTCCAAAGGAGACTGATGGAGAGTGACTTGAAATCCATGAAGCTCAAGCTTACAGGCTTGCAAACACCGCCACATACACACACACACGCTGTCAGGTGAACACACCTGTTCACTTGACAGCCAATCAGTAATTTTAATGGTTCAATTACGCTGAAGGTTGAAACAAGACCATGCTGACATTTTGGCCCAGGAGAACAGCAGCTGACACTCCCGTTTTATTGTCCCTGCCATTTACCTGCTGTGCAATTTACCGACGACAATGGTCCCTGAGCTAATCGATAGAAACAATTAGCAACCTTGTTAGGGATGACATATCCCAAACTGATAAAACACAAGGAGATGTACAAATGTGCGCACGTAATTACTCAAACGTTTGCTGATGTTGCCCTGCGCCATTTCAGTGTCAGACTTTCAGAAGAGGAGTTCTTCCACCTCAGCTCATATTTTGATGCCAACACCACAGGGAGGATCTGCTACAACAACTTCCTTTGGGCCTTTCTTAACGGGACGGGTGGCGCAGTGGTCTGTGCATCCGATCATCAGATCAAGGGGGAGTGCTGGGGAACTCCAGTTCGAAACCCGCTCCTGTCGCCACTGCGTCAGGCCGTTGTGTCCTTGGGCAAGACACTTCACCCGGATTTGCACCTGTGGGTATTGTTCACAGTACATGTATGATACCAATGTGTACTTGTAAAAGCGCCTCAATGACCTCGAGGCGTGAAGATTGACGGTGTGGCGCAGTGCGCTGTGCAATTATCATCAGATCAAGGGGTGAAACCCGCCGCTGCTGCGTCTGTAAAGCCGGTGTGTCCTTGGGCAAGACACTTCACCTGAACTTGCTCCTGTGGGTATTGTCCACAGTATCTGAGCATTGCATGTATGATATATGTGTAATGTGTGTATATGTAAAGCGCTTTGAGTAATTGAAAAAGCGCTATAATAAATGTAAGGAATTATTTTCTTCACTGACCTTCAATCTGATTCCTACAACTCTTAGCAAGCATGGCTGATAAACCAATCACCCAAGACCTTAGACATTCAGGGAACCCAGGTTTTGTGTTTGGCCATTACTGTGACGGCCCCAGAGCCTGTGTGCAAGGTGTGTTACAGGTCTTACTGTGGAGTGGAGCTGAAGAGGCCAATCAGCGCGATCGCGGACACCTGGCCGGCGCTGAGGTGCTATTAAGCCCAGCTGCCCGGAGTCACAGGGCCCCTGACTCTCTCCAAGCCGGCCGCATGAGGAGTAACACGGCGATCCTCTCCCCTCGTCCATCTATTTTGTGCATTATATTTAACAACCGTAATAAATGTGCCGTGGCTTTTGGAAACTCGTGTACGTTTTGTTATCTTTCCGTTGTGGCCTACGAGCCGGTCATAATAATAATTATGGTAATTATTTGTTATAATGTAATTAACACCTACTGTAGTATAGCCTGAAATGCAGAACATCTAATGTGGCTTCTGCATATTAAATGGTATCTAAAGTAAACATATTCCTCTATAAAATGAAATAAATGCTTTCTCTAAATAACAACCCAGGCCATTTTCTGTGTTTTTCAATTTTTTCAAAGTAGCTATCTCTCTATGAAGGAAAATGGTGTCCTCATTCTTTATTCTACCTGTTGAACTGATCGGGCGACTGTGGCTGCGAGGGAGTGTGGTCGTCTTTCAACCAGAAGGTTGTGGGTTCGATCCCAGCCCATGCAGTCAACATGTCGATGTATCCTTGGACAAGATACTTAACCCTGAGTTGCTCCCGATGGCATGGCCAACGGTGTGTGCATGTGTATGAATGTTAGTTCCTAGAGTTAGGTACGCTGCTCTGTATAAATGGGTGTGAATGGGGGAACGACATGTAGTATGTAAAGTGCTTTGAGGGGTCTTAAAGACTGGATAAAGCGCTATATAAGTACAGTCCATTTACCATTTATCCTTTGAGGGAATCAGAGGTGCAACAGACCCTTCAAAGGTTAACTAGAGGGCAGTAAGTCTGGTTGCAGGTGACTCTTTAATACTTATATTTCAGAGACAGTTGGTCAAACTTTGAATTTAAAACATTTTTTGAATATACAGTAAGAGATATGTTTGCCCCTGGGTTGGTTTATCTATCCCTGACGAGAAGATTTTTGAATTTAAAAACCATGAAAAAAACTAATACGAACAAGAAGAAATTGATAGAGGATTTGAGAGTTATTTGACTATTTGTCACTTATTTGTGTCCAAAGCCAATTAAATAAAGTGCTTTTGTAATGATGCAGACGACGGGACTGGGTGAATGTTTTGTTCATATGGTGAAGTGTAAAGTGAGATGGATGGCAAGAAGATAGGAGGGTGTCCGTCATTAATTTAAAGAAAACACAACCGCAGCAGTTGCTCTGAGGGGAGAGAAAAATGTAGAGAGCTGGGAGTCATTATCTGAGGACGCCAAGAGAGGGAGGAGCAGATGGAATTGGAAAAGGGATGATCCCAACTGAGAAAAAGAGCTCAGCATTGTGGTAGAAAAGAAAGAGGGAGGGAGATGGAGAAAGACAAGAGTATATGAAAGCTAGTTGTATTAATGGCAAAGTAAAAACGCCATCCACGAATAAATTACCCGGTCTCCCCTGGGATTACTAATGTAATTATTTGAACGAGGGTCCTCATTAGAATGTGCAGAGGTGTGGAAGACCTGCGGAACAAAATGGGAGACGGGTTTAGTTTAACTCGCTGCTCTGGGCTCTATAATTGATATGAGACACAGATATCTTTGATTGGATTAAAAGAAAGAACCAGGACGGGAAAAGTTTCCTCAATGCATTTTTAAGAACAAAAAATAAGAATAGAAAGAGAAAAGGGAAGAGCGACGAAGGAAGAAAACATGATCCAGCGGTCACAGATAAGGTTTTATTCAATCAGTGAATAATCTCTCAGAACCAGCAGAATCCTTATGGTTTTAAGAAAGAGAGGTACTTTACATTTTTAGAGTTGTCTCCAGGAACAACACAGTCATATTTTCCACGGTTGGGTCTTCATTTTTTTGCATACATTTCTAAAAAAATTTCCCCAACAACCATGGCAATATACAACACCATATGAACACTTTTATTCCAAAATGCAATACATCCATTTAAAGAAAAGACCTGACGTTCTATCCAGTATTGTTGGAGTGTGGAGGATCCAGCTCATAAACAGAATGTACTAATGATGCTTTAAAAAGTACCACCACAAACCGCTTTCAAGTTTTAGCCGACAATCATTCTGCCTGTGTAGGCGTCTCTTCTTTTTCAAAGAGATATCATTTTGGAACAAAACTCTTCATATGCAGATTGTCTGATTAGCAGAAGTCATTAACTCCTTTAAGCATGCCTCAAGAAAGAAATTTAAGAAATAGTACAGCACTTTTTTTTTTCTTGGAAAAAACAGGAAACACATAACACGGCTACTGAAGCAGAAGAGCATCAAAGTGAGACATCTAAATGAGGACTGGAAGTGGAGAGTGGGACCAAACAGAAAGGTTTTCTTGAAACAGATGAAAGTTCTCCCATTTTCTGGTTTTCAACAGTTCCCTTTATTCCTTTTTTCAGACCCATTCCTTCGTAGACATTAATTAAGTTGGTGTTTTAAAGGATGAGGCTGAGCACTTCCTCTCCTTGTACACTCACACAGACACACACCCGATGTTGTGCTTGTACACAATCCCACATTCAAAGTATTAATGCATATCCTTATTTAAAGGCTCCCCATTTCATGTGTCAAATCGTAGATCCTTATGATATTTTGTGCCAGAATTCAACAAACAAAAATACTTGTTTTTCTGATTCACCAAAACCAATTAGTGAAGTGGAAATAAGTGAGAAAAAAGTTGCAGCTGTTTGTTTCTTATTAACAATTGAAGTTTTGAGCAGAGGCAGTTGTTTGTTCCAACCATCCATAATTCCATAAACCACTTTTCGAGAGGGATTTTAATGTGAAAAATCTGCAGATCTTCAGCTTAACAGCAATGATTCACAAAATAAGTGATTATTTAAAAACCAGTTTTTATGCTTTATTAGAGTAATTAAATGCAGCCAATGACATGACCGTTTTTACTTATACTATTATATGTATGTGTCCGCAGGCCCGTCCCTCCCTACAGGCCGATCATGCAGACTGCGTGGGGCCTCACCTTCCGGAGGGGGCGTCATCTTGTGGAGGGTGCCTCAACTGAGCCGAAAATGCGGCCCACCTATGCGCTTATGTGGCGCAATTAGTGTGGCGCTCGCGGAACAGAGGGCCTCATCATATAACTTTGCGTGGGGCCTCATGTTGGCCAGGGACGGCCCTGTGTGTCCCTATGTGTTTTTGCTAGAAACAGACAGCTTTAACTTGACTGACACGATTATTTTTGAGTTTGCCTGAAATGTACAATACATTACATTTAATCTGCAGAAATTTCCTGAATTTCAAAATAAAACTTTCACGTTATTTTAGCAAAACGCGTAGGCATACATGTATATGCTGGAACAAGTGCACGCACCTCCCCCCGTTATCCACACAAATTGGTTTCTTAGTGAGTCATTCTGCTGCTCTTTCCTCTTTTGCCTATTTGGAAACATTAAGACATCAGCTGGCACAATGAATGCTGATGTGCTGAGGAAGCGAGAGTGAATGCGGGAGGAAACTACAGCTCCAGGGAGCGTTCATACATAATGTCGAGAACAAGAAGATCAAAGTATGACATGGTCTTATTATGCTAAGCACATTCAGACTCTTACTGAGAACAACGTTATTCAGAAATAAGAGCAATGGAGAAAAATAAAAGGAAAGCTTCTTAAAAACACAGACACATTTGTAAGAGACATGAAAGAGTTAATAATCACCAAATGGGGCCGAGCAGCTTTACAGAGAAGAAAATACCATAATAAGAATTTACATTACTAAGAAATTGACAAAAGGAAATGTAACAACCACAAATATAAACAAGTGTTTTTAAAGTATAGCAACAACCTGGAAATCTTTTAGAAAAACTTCAAGTTTTTTTCTTCTTTACACTGACAGAGAACATTTACATTGACCAGTTACAGTACATGTAGTTACAGCTTTATTCCTCTTGAAAAAGGATACAAAGTTTTATCTCTCAGAATAGCGGCTCAGAATTACTGTCCGTTAGCATTTAGCTCGTAGCGTTAGCATTTAGCACGTAGCTTCTACGTTGAATGGGACTCAGTCGCCGCTGAAAAGTTGTGGTAGTCATTCAAAACATGAATGATAGACAGGAATTCAAATTAAAATAAGAGTAGAAAAGGTGAAAGGGCAGCTACATGGAGGGAAAAGAAAGGGGGAAAATGAAGTGCTGTGCGTGGTTTCCTCTGCGTCCTCCTCTCGGCTGGTTAAGAGGCTAATGAGGGCTGTAATGAGGCTCAGGGGAGCCATGTCAACATGTTTGACTCCCCAACTCTCACACAGCCCTTAGCAGAGACCTCTTGCTGCCCTCACACATTGGCAATACAAAATAAAAACACTCCATCGTGCTCCGGGCGCGAGGAGAGGAAAGAAAAAGGCGGGAGAAATTAGGAAATACATTTTTAAAGTGGTAAGAGATAAAAGTTCTGGTAAAATCCCCCAGAGTCATGGCTTAGCCAAAAGTCTCATGTAGACAAGGTGCTGGGTCGTTTCACGTCCATCAACATCGTCTCTCTGAGAGCCACTTCAGATTGTCAGTGCAGTAAAAGAGTACAGAGAAATGTCCATTTGTCCGCATATAAAAGTGTCTCTCCGCTCGTCCATTTGCCTTTTAGACGCAATGTTGAGATGAAGAAATTATGGCACATTAAATAATATTTATACCGTCAGGAAAGGTCCCTTGCTTAGTCTGTTCCATCCCTCGGGTCGTACCGTTTGTGTCTAATTTTTACACAGTCGCTCTCCGCTCCACCACCGTCCTCACCTATCTTTCCTGGCATCTTTCTCCTCACTGCCGGCAGGTGTTTTGGGGGGAGCTTCCTCGTGTCATGTGCTGGTCCTGGGGTTAGGAAGGTCAAAGACGATGGGGGCGTTCATGGGCATGAAGTTCACGGTGCAGGCGGAGGCGTTGATGAATGTTGTGGTGCCATCAGTCATCATGCCGTAACCTGGGGAACAGTGGACCACATTAATCATGTTTGTAATCATGACTTATCAATTCATTAATTAATTGAAATGTTTCAATCTGATAAGTTTAACTACAAATTACAATTAAGAACCGCAATATGTGATAACTCAAACAAAGTGTTACTTCTTGTTGTACTAACACATGCATTTTGTAATTACCATCTTCAACGTAAAGGAAGTAATCGAAAAATATGTTTCTCCATATTTTGTAAAATGTTAATTTATTTTTTTCATGAAAATGATAAAACATACACTTTATAATACCAAACCGGAATGGATGTCCTCATCTGTAATTGCTATATTTTTAGAAAGTCTAAGGAATACGGTGATGCTTGTAATAAGAATATGGATGACAATACCCATAATCCACCTGTGATCTGGAATAATTTGGCCATGAAAGATAATCTACTGATCTAGTTAGCTTCTTTTAAAATGTATTTTTATTCAGTTTTAGATTATGATTGAATGAAATAAATAAATGTTATTTTATTATGGTATAATGATTGCTATAAAGAAACAAATTATACATTTTGCGTGACTATATATTTTTATAATTATAAAATTGTAATAATTATAAAAATAAACGTAAGAATAGGATTTATAGCAACTGTGTGTATTGGATGGGGTTATAATAAAGACAAACATATAAGATATATTTTGGACGTGACAGCAGAGCTATCAGCGCTCAGTATCACAGCACGTCCTTTCCAAAATGGAGTGATCCCAGTTTGAACAAATATATGCATGAGAGTGTCACACTAACAGCATTACAGCTAAAAAAATCCCTGCTTCAAAGGCACTTTAGATCAGCGTTCCTTCCAAATGGCAGATGTAAAAGTGTTACAATTTTGTCAAACATAAGTTAACTACCATCTCTCAGAAAGTACTACAATTCAGCTTTGCGCCATCAGTGATTTTTAAGTGTAGGTGTCACTTTCAGCATCTCTTGGAACCGAACAGATGTCTGCGTTGGTCCTTTCAGATTTGGAATACATGAATACAAAAACGCACTGCAGATCATTTCTGTATTTCTCTCTTTAAATTAATGAAGAGAGCTGCGTTCAGCCTATTTCTCTTGTTGTATAATCTGATCTAGTTTCTAATATGGCTCACTCTGATAGGGCACTGCTGCTCCAGGGGCTCAGCGCTGACCTGATAACCCTGAAAAAGCAATCCTCGGTCCATGGAGACGGCCTTTCTGCCCTCGTTGGCCTGGATTTAATGCTTATAAGGATGTGGCAGCTCAGCTATTCCATAATATACACTTTTATTATTTAAGACGTTCACATCAATCAGTGTTTTTCACTAAAACCGGTTGTTGAATGGCTGGAATTTAACTTTTGTAGGCAATTTTAAGGAAAAAGTATACATACAAGTAAGTATAAAACAAGGATGTAGATACATTTCTTTTCGTAAATGTTTAGGTTATAATACATGAGAAAATATTAGACAGTGATGTAGCAGCAGGGGTGTTAACTATCTGCCGCATTCAGAATCCAATTTTAAAGAGGCCATTCCTGGATGCTAAATATTATATTGCATCCTATGAATTTAGGTCGTTTGGATTTATGTGAGCCTTAAAATGTGTAAATGGTACTCTGTAAACAAAAGAGGGGGTAGTTTATATTTAGAGTATCTCTGACTAAAACACAGGAATTTGGAGAAATGTGTGGCCATGTTGAGAAGTTGTATCCTACTCCCACTTAAATTAATCAAGGGGGCTAATTCCACTGGGAGGAGGATTGACTCCTTCACTAACAGACCACTAAATCAGCATTAGCATTATAAATATTTGCAAGCTCCTTTTTGTGAAATAGTCATCTTTATTTTTTAAAAACATTATTTTAATGTTTTCTGAACTCTGTTGAATTTCTGTTTCTTTTGATTTTATGAGTATGATTTGACAGTCCAAATATTGCCAGAAAAACCAAATGTTCAGGCCATGGCTATATGTGTAAAAATGTAAATCATTATTAAACTATGGAAAGCGTCATGTATAGGAATAATTGTGTCTAAAAATGATGTAAAATAGCATAATTTAATAATAGGACCAGAACATAATACTGTTACCAGTCCTTTGCTTTCCTTGTGTTGCTGCTGTGCAAACCGGCCTAAAAGTTTGCCAAATCGTGTTGTATTGATTAAAAAACATTTCTGATTTTAAGGGCACGCCATTCACTTGTGATTGCATTAAATTGACAAGAGACACTTTATGTTTATGTTGTGAAGGGACGTGTCATTACCTGGGACTCTAGTTTATATAGTTCCAATGTAATACTATATCAATAAACAAGCATGACTGGAAAAAAAGTCCATTTGATTAAGACCTCCTCTTTTACAATGTTGAAAATAGTTTATTTGCTTTAAATGGCTGTGGATCGTCACATTTGTCTCTGTTGCAGCTGCAGCATTGTGTGAGTTTTACTGTTTTACAAGCACATGCAAGTACCTTCATGAATGTGTCCGAACACGTGAAACTTGGGCTGGACTCTCCTCTGGACGGTGTTGAGCAGCTCCATGCAGCCCACACGCTGCATCTTTTTCGGGACCCAGTCCAGGAAACCTGCACAGAGTGACACCAAAAATCAAACACACCTCACACTAAACGCACCACTTCCAACAGACGTATAATGGCACCACGACACATATGAAGAGCTGTAGCGCATGTGGTGGTATGCTAAGTATGCGAAAGAAAAGTGTTTTTCTATCTAATGAGATGTAATATTAAAAATATAATGGGCAAAAGTGTACTGATCATTTTGGGCTGACTTTCTAGTTTCTATTTTCATTTTAAATGTCTGAATTTGTCTTCATGCAGTTATATATTCATCTTCCTTCATACATCACATTTAAGAACAACACTCATTTCAGACTCCTTGTCTAATGGCAAACTGCACATTGCAGCACAAAAAAGACTCTTAGAAAGCAGCCATATAAAATAAAGATCAATCACAGCCACACACAGATGCAGACTTCCCAGTGTGTGTGACAAGGATGAAGCATGGAGTGTACATGATTTAGGGGCTGCTCTGCGAGGAGGGATGCTGCTGATGCTGAGTCAATAAAAGCATCAAGTCGGAGAAATAAAATGAGTGAGGAGCTCGTGGCTCCATCTTCCCTGCCTGCTGTCGTGCCGCGCAGACAGGAATAATAAAGTCAACACAAAGGAAAAAAGACAAATAGATTCAAGTGCACAAAATAACAAATGAGCCAGATGAGAAAAATACACTGAAAGAAGACTTTAATTCCTGCTTGCATAGTTTTTATCAATGTATCCATTGTTTCATATATGAACTGCTGGAAACATTATTTCCACAAATTATTAGAAGATTAAAATTTGAACAATAAGGCAGTCTGTTGGAGTCTGCTAATTCAAAGGCCTGGACAAAAGGCAACCTCTGGACAGTCAGGTTTAAAGTCTTTAAGGACAAGTCCAAACCAACTCTCTAGTATGAAAGGACAGGTGAAGTGACAAGTTGTTTACACATTGTACTTGAAAAGTCTCTAAGGGCGAGTCAAGACCAAGTGTCAAATCTCTAAGGACTAGTCCAAGTTAAGTTTTCAAGTTTTTTAGTACAACTCCAAGCCAAGTCTCTCTAAAATAGGTTTAGGTCAATTCTCAAGTCTTTAAGGAGTGGACTAGTCCAACTCCAGTCTCAAGTCTTTAAGAACAAGTCCAAGCCAAGTCTTTGAGGACAAATCTATGTCATGTTCAAGTCTTTTAAGGACAAATCCAAGCCAAATCTCTAGTCTGAAAGGACTAGTTTAAGTCAAGTGTCAGGACATTAAGTTGAAGTCAAAGCCAAGGTTTTTAGGGTGATTTCAAGCCAAATCTCAAGTATTTAAGAACAGGTCCAAACTAAGTCTTTAGGGACACATCTTAAATCAAGCTCAAGTCTTTAAAAGATGAGTCCAAGCCAATCCTTAAGTCTTGGAGAACGAGTCAAAGCCTTAACGAAAGAAACTCATGTCATGGCTCAAGTGTTTAAGGACAAGTTCAAACCAGGTTTACAGTTTTTAGGTAAAAGTCCAAGCTAAGTCTCAAGTGTTTGAGGACAAATCAGGTAAACTCTCAAATCTTTAAAGACAAGTTTACATTTCTAACGACAAGACCAATTCACAACTACATTTAGAAGTCTAACAGTTCAAATTAACCTCTCACCTAGCCCAAGACCAAAACATTACAAAAGTGTGTTGCTTTCGAGTGATATGCATTGACATGCCAATGCTGAATGACAAGTAGCATGAGTTATGATAGTTATGGCTGCCTTTCAGCAAGTCAGGGGCAACAAAAGAGAAAGGGAAGAGTCTCTCTAGGGATCTCTAAGATTCTTATTCTTTTTTTAATCACCAAACAAAGTGCTAAAACTCTCACTCACAGCACAGTTAATGGATCCTCTTAAACTCTACACAGACATAAAACTTCTGTGTAGGCTGGCAGTGAATCAGTCATGATGGTAAAGTAATACAGTCTGACTTCTTTGTCCTCTAAATGTATCTACTTGTAAAAAAAAACATACTTGTAGTATCAGTTTAGGTATGAAACGCCTTCAGAATTCTTTACAAGCCTTAGGAGATGATGGAAGCGCCGTGAGAAGTTACGAGGGCTTTTTGCGTCTCGGGGTATTTTGCTCTAATGTGCCGTTTGTTTCAAAGCAGCTGCTGCTTTGGGCACTGAGCCTGTTTTCCTCTTTTGTCTCACTTGCTCTCTTTCCCTCTTTACTGTTAACTTCTTCCTCACAGCCAGATAAAGAGGCCATATTTTTCCTTTCTAGCTGCCGATCTGCCGTTTTATCGCGCCTCATAAAAGACGAGAGCTTTTTGCTGCAGTGCGAAACAAGTCTTGCTAACACTTATTTTTCCGTCACCTTCTGGGCCATGTTCGTTTCGCACTCTTTTTAAAAAACATTTAAAAAAAGGATGTCTTTTCTTGACCTCTAGCGCTTTAAACAATCCTCTTTATTATGCACACTTTTGTGGTCCATACCCTTTATCCCTCTTTCTTTCTCATGCCATTCCTGCAATCTTGCTCTGAATATGTGAGCATGTGTGTGTGTGTGTGTGTGTGTGTCTCATGCATTAGTAGCCGGCTGTTGCCGCTCCATATGCCAGTGGCTTACGAGCAGATAGCTGGAGACACTTCGCTAAGCTGAATGGAAAATAAACGGCCGTGTTTGCGGCCGAGACGCAGACACAGAAATCAATCACACACACTCGTCTGAACACCACAGATGCAGAAGGAGATGAGGTGTGAAAGTGTGTGTGGGAGAGTGAGGGTTAGAGAGAGAGAGCAGTGTGTGCCCCTATGTCTCTATAGGATGTCAATTAGATTGCGAGTCAGCATCTGTGTATGTCAAACTCTTGCGACATTTGTTTGTGTGGGGATGAAAAATGTGAAAGGTGTTGACACAGGAGACTCTACAGGTGAAGTGTGTTTGTGACCGACTGTGAGAATGTATTACATTACCAATTACTCAACTACTCAAATATAAAATCACCTATCACCTTTTTGACAATTACGCAAATAGGTCAGAAATACAGCCCAACAGTGCCCACGATGTAACCTCAATTCCGTATTTTTGGTTTGATCGGGACTTGGACCGACAACCCATTTTGATATTTTTAAAGAAAATCAAGCATTTACACTGTTGAGGAAAATAAAATAAAGTTGATGAAGAATATGTCTTATACTTACTTAAGAAGAGAAAAGAATACACCTCAGAACAAGTCTGTAGTGTAATGAGAACTTGGACCAAGGTCTTTACCCATTATATCGAGAGAAACACCAAAATAACTTCTAGTCTAAGAGCACTTCCCTGAAGTGATATTAAAATGTGTACTTGATGGTAGGGTGAGAGCTGGTTTCTCTAACACTATACAAACATGTGCAGTGAAGGTCAGTTCACATGTAAGTATCTAAATAAAAGTAATACAAAAAATATGTTTTTCTTTATTTGCAATGAAGTCAGGTCCGATCCAGCTGGGGAACTTTGACTGTATAAAAAAAATATAAAAACGTGACTATAATATAAAACATGTTTTATAGGCTGGTGACATTCTTTCTAAACTCTATATATTTAAAATGTGTCTACGTGTAGATCAATAAATAAATACCGAAATAAATAAATAAAGGACTGAGAGCCAGATTTACTGGTCGGGAACAGATGTGACGCAATCTGCCCCAAACAGAAGTGTATTTATCTAACAGATGCAGCAGGCTGGAGTTAAAAAAAAATATATATATCATAGGTGAAGATCATGCCAATGCTATGTAACTTGTATACTGTATCTTGCTGGATTCACTGCGGTCAAGCGCTTTGGAACTGCCACTTTTGTGGAGTCAATTGATCCATCAAAGTTTATAGTGGTGAAAAATACCCACGATATACATTATATATATATATATATATATATATATATATATATATATATATGTATATATATGCAACCCCCCTGTAATTTCAACCCAGTCTCACGGCATTTCGTGTTATAGTCACGAAATGTATTTAATCTATTGATTCGTGTTCACCAACACAATTTTCCCATTTTTTTCGTGTCACACAGAACGATTTTAAAAGCAATGTATTTCTATTGGTAATGTGTTTCGTGCCTGCAACACGTCTTTTTGTCCGGTTGGGTCTTGGAAGAAGGAAGCTGTGTGGTTCATAAACACATTTTCTTACTTAATATCAAGCCACAATTATTGTTTTTATTTTAAATGGTATAATGTCGGACTTTCTTTGCCGTCCGCGAGGAAAATAAATGGGGCTCAGGGCCTCAGAATACTGAAATCTGTATTTTTAAAATCTTTTTTTCCTTCTAATTTGTTATTATTTACATTGCTTTTAAAATCGTGACTATAACACAAAATGCCGTGAGACTGGGTTGGTGATTTAGGCCAGGAGGGTCATAATCTCACCAAAATCCCACTATTCCCCTCTAGTTTAAGCAAACAAAAGCAATTTACTCTGAGCCCATCAATTGAAAATGTAAAGGGCGGCTTCTAAATCTGGCAGTGCTGGTGTGATTGCCAGCGGTGTGTGTGTTTGTGCGTATGTGTGTGTGTGTTTGTGTGTGCGTGTGTGTTTAGTGTAATGTGTGTCTTACCCAGTGGGGGGCAGTGTGTGACCAGGATGTCTGTGTTGTCAGGGATCTGGTTCCACTTGTCCAGCAGAGCCTGACCCCGAGGCAGGTTGAAGCCCCAGCCGTAGTACCAGGGCTGCCTGCAGGCAGACAAACACACACACACACGGGAAGATAAATGGTTAGTCCATTCACCATCAGTACAGACAACATCAAGTGAACATCTTATGCATTTCTCTTCGACTCTGGCTGTTAACCTTAATAATATTGCAGCTCATTGAAATGGGATTTGAGAGAAGTAACACTAAACAGAAGAACTCACAACCAAACAGCACACATAGTAAACAACCTACAACACTTCAGGCTTCATGGAAAATGTGTTAATGTGCTCATAAACGAAACACTCACAACCCTCTCAACACAAAGATTCCTTTAGTGTGTTCTCTGCGGGAATTTCTCTCTCACCCATTCCCCCCCTGCCTGAAACGCCTCCATTGGACTCCTTTGTTTACTTCTGTAACATAGTGACATCACTATGTCACGCTTATATTTGATAGTGCTGTAACACAATGTACGTGACGGGCCAGGGGGCGGGACATCTGTGAGCAGTTGACCAATCATCATCAAGAGAGCTGGCCAGTTAACCAATCAGAGCAGACTGGGCTCTGGTTTCAGACAGAGGGTGAAAAGAGGTGCTGCAGCACAGGCAGTATGAGACAAGTAAAGACTTTTTTGAACATTAAAGCATGGACACATGTCACAGAATACAATATGAACCTGATTATGCGCATAATAGTGCGCTCTAAAAAGATATTCTCACAACACTGAAACTACAGCAAACGAACCGCAAACACACAGCAAAAGTCAAATGTTTCAAAATGATGATGTGGCGTTATGTACAGGTTGTTGTACCTAAAACTTTGATGAAGTTTACAATGTTACATTTTTGCGGACCCTGTTGTTTCAACTGGACAGTCATGAGTCAGTTTTTGACAAAGAGTCTAAAATAATTTGTGATTGCAGTTTTTCTGCACTTACAGTAGCATATACTGTATGCAATCTTGCTCTGTAAGCTATCTTCCATTGCCTGAAAAAGTGACAGTTTTGCTTTCCTTAATAGGACTTTATTGCGATATTTTAACAGTGACTTCCTGAAGTTGCTGCCTTTGCTGGTAAATAATGAAACACACAAGGAAGTCAAAACATAGTGCGACTTCTTACTCTTTTTTAGCATCCCACACACACACACACACACACACACACACATCTTCTTCCTTTCAAGTGTCTTAACTCGTGGTTTGACCTTCAAGGTGAGAAGCTTCCAGGGGGTCTTCTGAAGAGTAGTCATGTACTGAAGGGCGAGGGGAGGAATCAATCAGATCCCTAGAAGGAGGGCGGGTGAGCTGAAAGCGACATTAAACTTCTCCTTGATCACAGTCAGCCCTTGAACGCTCCACGACAGGAAGACGAGAGAAGATCAGGGAGAAATGAGAAAAGAAGAGAAGAAGAAGAGGAGCCTTGATGGCTGGGGCTCGTGTCCCTTTACTTTGATAACGGACGCCTCGTATCGTGAGTGACGGAGAAGAAATTAACATGTCACTTACAATCTGTACTCCGATCCATCTTCCTTTCCAACGCGCCGCACGTGTGTGTGCAACGACGACGTCCGCTGGCACTGCCGCACAACCGGCTTTAAATTGCCGAGTGCAGTCACTCGAAACGCCAACTTTATCGCTGTGGCCGCTGCTCCACGCGTCTGTGCTCAGTGGAACATCAGATGAGGATTTTTTGAATAATTTCCGGAGTGAGTGTCTGTGTGTGACATGCTTGAGGACTTGAGGACAGGTTTGAAGATAGAAATAAACACCAAAGTCCCTTTCCAAGCTAAAAATGGGAACTTCAGCTCAGGGAGGGTGGTCAAGCACATGTGGCAGTAGTGCATCATGGGAAATCCCGTCCTATTTCGACAGTGCATCCGATTAAAATCCTCCCACTTCCTGAACATCAGAGAATACATTTCTGATGAATGATCTGATGCTGCCCATGGACAAAATCTCAATAATTTACACTGGGAATATGAAAACATTTAGACTGGCCTTAGCATATGAATAGGGCTTGCTTGTGCTTCATGTCAGTCTTCACGTGGACATCTCAATTAAAAAGAAATGAGCTCGGCGGTGCGGTTGATTCTCCCGATTCTCTCCGTTTAAATGTTGGGATGACTAGAGAGCAAATGAGGAGAGAAAAGACCAACAGACACGTGCTTAAAATTTATAAAAACTTGCCTGACTTGGATAGACTCTTTTCTTCTTTAACTTTTCTTTGTTGTGTTTAAACTACCTGATGATGTTCCTCTGATTTCTTTAATTTTGTCTGCATTTCTTATGTGAAAAGCAGGTTGGACTGTGACTAAAGTGATGGCAATCAGTCTAGATATTGGTCTCCAATATCAACAGGTTTCATTCTTCTTATCTAAGAAAGCTCTATTGAGATAAGACGTCTCTTTTTTCCAAGGTAAAGAAGCCTACATTGGTTTCCTATCCAAGGTCTATTAACTTTAGCAAACTGATCCTAAGCTCATTCAAACAGTCTGAGTGGCCTTGACCTAAAGGTAGCATGTGGAGTCAATAGCATTGATGTTCCAGCAAGGGCAGAGAAGAAGAAGACTGTTCGCCAGTCAACAAGCAAGTCACATGACATGAAAAAAATGACTTTACAAATGTTTTAGGAGAGTTTGTATGCATTTACCGTGTTTGTTAGACCCTAAGGACACAGATAATTGTATGTGAGTTATACCGAATGTTTTATTTGCATATGAGAAAACTCTGCAAGGCAGTTGTAACAACATGTTAATCAGAGAGAGAGCTGAATTTTACTTTCAAGTTTTTCTAATATTCTATCCACCGGAGAGTCTTAACATAAGAAACACCTTGCAGTTCAATACAACAGATTAACTGCATCACTAACTGAAGCCTTCAAAATTAGTATATCGACACTTTCTAGAAATGCAACAAAAACGACAATCTCAGCCTTGATGTTTGAACGGTGTGCACGCGACCAATGCACGGTGGCGCAGTTTGGTAGAAGCAGAGACTGTTTGATGGTGCATTCAATAATCCTGCATTTATAAAGTGCTTTCTTTTCTTTCAACCACTCAAAGGGCATTTGTTTTTATCATATTCAACATTCACACACAAATTCAAACACTGATGGTCATGCCTTCGCAGACTTGAGGAGCAACAGATCAAAAGTTAAATTGCTCTTTATCCAAAGCCACAGCCGTCCCATGATGCACCAGCATCCTATTTCTGTGACGCTGCAGTACAAATGTCATAATGCTCTGAAACTGATTGAACCAGTGGTTACCTGGAAGGTTTGGAATTACTCTAAAAGCAGATTGGTATACTTCAGAGAATGGTTTGCAATACTTGTAAGTATAAGCTGTTAGTGGGCAATGGAATAAAACAGTCAGTCCTTTAATGCTTGTTCAAACATGTGGTGATTGATCAATGTTGCTTTTGAGTTCCTGTCAAAACTTGTGAAAATATACTTTCAAATTATAACTTTCTTTTTAATCTTTTGAGAAGCTGTGTTTCTAATTTTGGACTGAAAAAACCTCAAGTTTGTCATCCTGTATATCTAAAACAATGAAGATCCAGTCTATCATTTTGTCAGCCGAGGATTACAGCACCATCTTTAAAGTACCGCAGCGTCTTTAATTTGGTGACATCAATCATTCGGTAAGAGAAGGCGTCACTCTTTGTCAAATGGTTTGTATCTCATTTTGCAGCAAGCCTCTTCGGCGTGCCAGAAAAACGTCCCCATGCCGACTGTAGGCGTCTCCATCACAGTTGCTAAAAAGAGATTATGCCTCGCTCAGAACTGACCGTAGCTTCTCTCAGTAAGAGACCCACCCTGTGATGTTGAGCAAACCCCAGACTAACTGAATGTAATTCCACGGATAATATCCCTGCTTCAGTATTCAGATTTGTTATCAGGTAAAGGGATTACAATGGGGCGAGTGATTTGTGTTAGAGGAGGAGACGTGTGTGACGCATATTAAAGATTCTGCTAATGTGCCGGGCTGGTATTTGTTATGGGTTTTTTATTTTTTTAAAAAGGAGAAAACAGATGTTTGTGTTAGAGCGCTCCATCCCCCGGCACGTCTTCAGGCAACACAAGGGGGGGAAAACAACAGCGTTCAAACCATTTCTACTTTCATTTCACACACCCACACACAGCCCTCAGTAACTGGCTTCACCTCTTTCTTAAGGAAAAACTTCACACTCTAAAATGCATTTAAAGATTTAACACAAACAGCAATGCACAGCTCTTCGCTTAAGTTTCGGAGCTTGCATGTATCACTGAGTGTGTGTGTGTGTGTGTGTGTGTGTGTGTGTGTGTGTGTGTGTGTGTGTGTGTGTGTGTGTGTGTGTCACTAACGGAGGCCCACTGATATCACTGGAGTAAGTCCATGAATCATTGAACGCCTCTGCCAAGGGCTGCCAGGCACCCATGCTTGCCTCTTTTTCTTCTCTTTTCCCCCTCATTCTCTCTCTTCTTCATCTCTACCCCTCATTACGTCTCTCCGTCCGTTTCCCTTCTCCTCCTACTCCCTTGTCTGTCTCCTCTTGACATATTACTCCATGTCCCTCTTCATCCCTCTTCAGTTCTCCCCCCTCACTTTCCTAGTTAGGAGGAAATGACCTGCTGCCAGGAGAGAGGCTGCCTTCTATGTGTGAGAGGGGGGATTTTTTTTAAACTAAATAACTAGCTAAGGTATTCTGAAGTTCAGCAGGGGAGGGAGAGGAAGAGTTTAGAAATAGACGGAAGGACTCCGTATCAATAGTACTTTTTGAAAACCACCAAAATGTGTATTACTAGTACTAAAATTGTTTAATACTTTTATCACATATTAACCTTAGGTAAACCTGCATCATATCGTGTTTTTGGCATACAGGCAAACAGCTGTTTTGGTCTATTCAATCATTCACGTCTTAAGTTTACTGTGTGTGTGTGTGTGTGTGTGTGTGTGTGTGTTGTTTCCTGCTCGACAGAGAGTGGTGGAGCCTTTTAGGTCGAAATATATTTGTGCCACATTCAAGTTGCAGGAGGATTCAACTGAAAGAGAGTTAGAGTT